CGCCCGCCGCTGAGGTGGACCGAGCCGCCGGGCTCGCTGCTCCCGCCGGCGGCGCGAGGTGGCCCTTTCTCCGCAGCGTGATTGATTTTCGTCTTCTTTTCTTCTCAACTCTTCTTCCAGGGAGAGGCTAGTGGTAACAGGTCGAGCTGGATGGATGGGTATGGGGAGAGGGGCAGGACGTTCAGCCCTGGGATTCTGGCCGACCCTCGCCTTCCTTCTCTGCAGCTTCCCCGCAGGTAAGTCACTAACCCAGGCCGGTGAGGACAGCCTGCTGGGCGGCGTCCCCGGGCCCCCGCAGGGCTGGGCCGTATGTCCGCTAGCGAGTCGGGGCTGAAGTTTGCCGACCTCTCCCCCTCGGGTCCCCGCCCCCCATTTCTTTGTTTCTCTCCTGCCCCACCAATGGAGTGATGGATGCCTGTGGGAACCCGAGGAGTAACCTCGCTCGGACTGCAGCGAGAAGGAGCCGGCCGGGTTGGTTGCAGGGCCCAGGGCGCCTCCCTTCCTCTCTCCTTCCGAGAATGGGGTGCCGAGGACGCGCCCCTTGTGGGCCCCGGAGGAGGGAGAGGAGGGGAGGCACGGACTCGGTGCTGGAGGTACTTCCTCCGGCTCCTCGCCCACCGGTTTGCAAACCTGCACGATGCCCAGGGGTGGAGCCGGGGGCGCCCAGCGGTCCCCGAGGCGTCCCTGACCACCGCTCTTCGGGGACCCCGTCCCGCCCCCACGCGCTTGTCCACGAGGGGAAACCCACGGCCCTGGCTCATCCGAGTCCAGATTGCTGTTTGATAACATTTCGCGTCGCCCCTGTTTGTTTTTATTGTGTCAGAAAGGGAGAGAATTTCAGAATTAAAGCTGAAAAAGCCCATCTGTTTCCAATGAATCCCCCATAGTTTTTCACAATGTTTTTGGCAGATCGCTGCTTTCAAATTCCTCCGAGCCGGGACCTCTTGTTTTTGTTGGGGGAAGGGAGACCAACTCCACAGAGAAGCATTTGTTCCTTCCCAAACGCTCCAGTTTCTTTACTCTCCCCCCACCCCTTTCGGGGGGAGGAGGGAGGCACGGAACTTAAATCCCTGGTCTGTGTTCTTTATAATGTTTGGTAAAACTTTATTTCATTTTTGCCATATGCTGCTCACAGCCGGGAAGCGCCAGTTAAAGTCTTTATACTCATTTTTCTCTTGCTAAAAATACAAATAAAACACTGTCATGGGCCACAATGCCCCCACTGCAAGGCGGGATCTCCTGGCCATTTCCATTGTGTTGCGGGGTTCGCAGGTATCCTTTTTGCAAAAATGAGGGCTTGCGCGGGGAGCGACTGTTGCAGCGCAGTGCGACCCGAATTGGCAGCCCCCGCGCACAACCGAGCTTTGCAGGAAAGGACTTCAGTTAGACTCGGATGAGGTTGTTTTCTTTTGCTCCTCTGCAGCTGGGTTTCAAGGAACTAGCAGAACTGGGCAGCCTGGGCTCAGCCTGGCTGCGAGTTGGGGCTCCCGGCGGGTGTACCGCGAAGGCCGTGGTAGCGGGAGGGATCAGTTTACCCTCTCGGCCCGGCCCAGCCCAGCCCTGGAGGCCCCCAGTCGCCTTGCGCGTCCGGCTCACTCGGCAGCTGCGCGCCCCAGGGGCGGCCCCGAGAGCCGCAACCTGCTCCTCAGCCTGGATTCCACTGGGGAGGCCCCGGCCGGCCGAGGACGAGACGAGGGGAGGGTGCCAGTGCACCAGTGAGGCCTCGCCCCGTGCTGCCTCTTAATAAAATCTCCACAGAGCGTCAAGCAGCAGCCCTCCCCATCCACCCACTCGTTTTAAAAGGCCCTTTCCACACTTCTGGAAGGGTCTGCCCAAAGGCTGATTTGGTTCCCTCCCACAAAGTAAACAAATAAAATAGAAATTAGAAATTACTCTCTTCTTGAAAAAGAAGTCCCCTTTTCGGAGAAACAGACGCTTGCAATTTGTGTTCATCTCACTTGGGTCTAGATAAAGATCCAGCCCATTGGAAGTTTTATCAGATAGGTTGATAAATGGCTTTTGTCCCTTGTCCGTGGTGGGGGATGTGATCTCAGCTCCAAGCTGAAATTGAGAAGGGGGCTTAGAAGCCGTTAAAACAACACCATCCGGCTCTTAAAGTGGCAGCACTTGTTAACTTCTGGGGCTGCAGAGTGAGGAAAGGAAGGGCTAGTAATAGAAGGTACTAGGAGTTAGGTGGGAGCAGGAAGGGCTGGGTGTTGTTTTCTTGTTAATTTATTTCTCTGTCTTAAAAACATATGTGTGTAAATAGGAATTGACTCAATGGGAACAGGTTTATAGATATAAATGTGTGTGTGTGTGTGTGTGTGTGTATACATCTTTTTAAAGTATCCCAGCCCAGTCTGAGGAAAGCTGGTGGGTTATATAATTCACAACCAGAATTCCATCACTTTTGTTTCCAAGAAACCCATTTTTTGTTGGCTTCGAGACTGGTAACTCAAACCTGGTAGATAGAACAGATAGCTGCGGTGCTATGTGCCAGATGGCTAAAGTTTCTTTTAATTTGAGCCCTTGACAGCTGCCTTTAGTCAAAATTGCCCACCCTACTGAAAACTGAGATTCTGGTATCCCAGAACTAAATAAACGGTGGGCTCTGAAACTTGTGTGCTCAAGAAACCTGGGTCAAAAGACAGTTTCTTAAGAAAGAGATGAAATGAGTAATTTCCACGACATAAAAGCAGATTGTCATATGCTCTGACACGTTGGCCCGGGAGAGGGGCCACTTTGGAATCATATCAGAGAACCCGCAGGCCCCTAGTGGGGGCAAGGACAGCGGGGTGGGAGTTAGAGCTAGAGATAAAAAGACAAAAAAGGAAGTGCAGGGCACAAAGGACACACTCGCGTGCCCCAGCTTCTCCCAGGGAAGACAGCTGGGACGTGTCTAGAGGGGCTGCATGAAAGCACAGGTTTATTCAGCGCTGGTAAACTTGGGAGGCTGCCAAGAGTAAGCCCACAGGGGTGCAAATTAAATTGGACATAGTTCTATGAGAAAGATGCCTTAGCCTTTGCTAGATGGAGAGTGTGTGTGCTTTTTGAGTGTTTGCATCTACTCATTCAAGGTGTACACGTAAAGTGTATCCAGTACCTTCCAGACTCAGTGACAGCATGCAGGCCCCATCTGACCGAGGCCCAGCATCTGTCCTTGGACAGCTGACAGCCTGGTAAAGAGAAAGGGCTGTGCGGTGCCCCACGGGCTGTGGGGGTGTCTGCTTGGACAATGCTGCAGGTTCAGAAAAGGGGCAGACAAGAAGTGGTCCCATCTACCTCCAAAGGGGAGGCCAGAAGAGGCTTCTACAAATAGCATCTGCTTCAAAACACAATGAACAGATACTTTTTAAACTTTTAAACCATTGTTATTAAATCAGGTTTCTAAGGAAACTCCATCAGAGGCATGTTATTTTGGACATGCTGACATGCTTACTGTTTACTGCGTTTTGATGCTGTACTCTAGCACAGTGGTTTTCAAAGTGGGGTCCCTGGACCAGCAACATCAGCAGCATCTGGGAAGTGATTCAAAATGCAAATTCTGGCCGCACTGCAGACCTTCTGAAGCAGATCCCCCTCAGGGTTGGGCCCAAAGTCTGTGTAACAGGCCTTCCGGGGGATTCCCCTCGAGGACCATCGTTCTAAGAACTATTGCACTGCAGCCTTTGTTTCGTTGTCTCTTTTCCCTTTCCTTTGAAACTGCTGCTGTTTTAGCAGTGTTAGTCCTCAGTGGGGAAACTGAGGCTTGGGGAGACCATCTCTCTCTGCAGTGTCTAAATGCATCTGTGTCATTAGAAATGAGACTATTTCAATCAGAGCTGATGTCCAGAAATGTGCTAGCAAGTCACACTGCTTACTGCCTCCTGGTTCCTCCAGTCGGATTTTGTGTCGCAAAAACGGGGAAAGAAAAAAAAGCTAAACCCGTTGCTGTCAAGAACTGCCTCATCGGGTGTCCAAGGAGTGGCTGGTGGATTCAAACTACCGACCTTTTGATTAACGGCCGAGCTCTTAACCACTGTACCACCAGTGCTGAAATCATGGCCAGTTGACAAAGCCAGGTAGTGGCAGAGCCAGCTATCTGGCCAGCTGTGTGACAGGCCAGGGGGGTCCGCAGGGAGCTGGCTGGGCAGAGCTTCAGCTCCCTGGAGAGCAGGGATGTGCAGTCCCCTCAGCTGGAAGGCCCCTTCTGCCCTGAGGGTGAGTTCTGAGTAAGGAGAGACTCTCCCCATCTTCTGAAGATGCTAAAACCTGCACTGGGAAGCTGGAGAAGTTGCTGGCGGTCACCCAGCACTCAGAGGAGGAGAGTTGGGGAGAGGAGGAATGTGGGGAGAGGTGATCAGTAAGTTACCGGTCATAGATAAGGATGTTCTAGGTGATGGGGAAGGAGTCCCTGGGTGGGGCACACGGTTAAGTGCTGGGCTACTAACCGAAAGGTTGGTGGTTCGAATCCACCCAGAGGCAGTTCAGAAGAAAGGCCTGGCAATCTGCTTCTGAAAGATCAGAGCCTTGAAAACCCTATGGAGTGCAGTTCTACTCTGACACACATGAGGTAGCCATGGTTTGGTTTTTCGTTTTTGTTTTGTTTTTGGTGTGAGACGGGGAAAAGGTAGTCCTGGGGTCCCGTGGAGGTGAAAGAATGGGGCTGGGGAGCAGTTTACACGTTGGCAGGAAGAATAAAACCAGTTGCTTTCCAGTCGATCCCGGCTCATGGCAACCCCATGTGTGTCAAAGTAAAACTCGGATCCGTAGGGTTTTGAATAGCTGTTTTTTCGGAAGTAGATCACCAGTCCTTTCTTCCGAGGTGCCTCTGGGTGGACTCAACCGCCATCCTTCTGGTTAGCAGCTGAGCATGTTAACCATGTGCACCACTCACGGAGCTGTGGGGCTGGGGGTTGGGGGGGGTGGGTAAAAGAAACCTCATTGCCATCCAGTCAATTCTGACTCATAGTGACCCTGTAGGGCAGAGTAGAACTGTCCCATAGGGTTTCTAAGGAGCGGCTGGTGGATTGGAATGGCTGACCTTCCGGTTAGCAGCCGAGCTCTGAACTACTCTATCACCAGGGCTCCTCTAGTGGGTAGAATGTGCGAGCTCTGGAATTGGGCAGAGAACCCCGACTCTGTGAATTAGGTTGAGTGGCAGCCAGGTTTTAGTGATCTGCTAAATTCAGTCTGCCGCAAACTGAAGACACTGTTTCTTTGAGGGAGACCAACTTGTCCCAGTTTGCCTGGGACT